ACATGGACGTACGACGGGGGAATTGGCTTTTTACTGATGTGTTTTACTTTGCAATGTCATGAAAGGATGCGACAAGGGCAATGTGACTGACTTTGTTTCTATTGACAGGTCCGGCTGCTCACAATGTCATGCTGCAGGCATACCATGTACATGGCCAGAACAAAGAAAAAGGTATGTCTGACCCAACTCAGGTGTGCCATCCGGCGCAGGGCTTCCCTCCTCTTCTTCCAGTCTACTGCATGGAACTAACACTGCCACTCAGAGGTCCTGCTAAGGGCTACATCGAAGGCCTTGAGCACCGCCTCCATGAAGCGGAATCGCTCCTTCTCGCCCTGCTACCCATCATCTCCACCGAACAACTAAAATGCGCCACCGATTCTCTCACTTCCACCCCCTCAACAACTAATCTCAATATGCTTGGTCTCAAAACCCGTGACTCGCCCTCCCCTGGTCCTCACACAATGAGAAGTAGTCCCCCGGTCTTGAATAAGAAGACTGGGATTGAATACTGGGAACAATTCCCTCTTGACAGCGTTGATAACATCCGCAAATGGCAAGAGGACTGCGCCTTACATTCCGGTTCCAATGTGCAAAGTCAGTCTTCTTTCCGCAACTCCATCGACGACGGCCATGCCCATAATCCCCTCCACTCCTTGAACGCAGCGAGTCATTCGCGCCCCGGATCGGTCGATCTCTCTCGTCACGGACATGGTCATGCTCAGTCAGGCGCTTTCCGGTCGATGAGCACAGATTCGTACCGCAGCGGCGCAAGCACCCCCGTGAATGTACCTCAACATTCGCTTTCACAACCAAATCTCCCTACAACCTCAAACGCCCAGCAACAACAAACAGGCCACAGCCAAACATCGACCCCCAATTGGCAATCTCTGTCCTCATTTTTATCCAACACCAGCTCGCCCAATAACAACACCTCAAGTCCCAATGTCAATGGTGTGGGAATCGGTGCCGAGGCTCTCTTGTTACAGAGCTTTGCGGACTCAAGCTGGGCACAGGCTCAGACCTTAAACAACGGTATGGGAATGAGCGGTATGGGGAACACCATGGCCGTGGAGAGCGGACCGATGGAGGTCGACACAGGGTTTTTCACGAATGATATGCAGAGAAGATTGTTTTGGTGATCTACTTCCATTCATACAGCAAACGGGCCGGCGCATTTGGGAGATTTTCAACGATTTGCACATTAGATGGAGATGAGGAACGGCGTTCAACGGCAGACGACAAACGTCATGAGTGGATGACTTGTTTTAATTTACTCAAAAGACCGTGAATCGGTTACAACGCCCCTTGGCTTGGCCGCGCCGAGCCATAATGGAGTGGAAGCCTCATGGTATTGAGGACGAGGAGATATGGTTGTTCAGGGGTCGGTCTCAGAATCTGGACCTGCCGCTCTGGCGGTCATGTACGGATGGGACTTGTGTGTTACGATCACAGTGTGCTTGCTTATCTTGTATTGTTACGACAACGATCGATACCCCCATTACAACGAGGAATTATCCAACAAAGCGAGCTTTTATGAAAAACATACCTTGTACTGTTGTACTAGTTGGCATTTATCTTTGACACGAGACTGTCCGCTGCATTCTCTCCACGAAGGATCCTCGTAGCTGTGAACTTGTCACGGGACAGCGCGTCACGACGTGTCGCGTGGAGAAGTACTGAGTACTTGTTAGGACGGGAGTCACGAAGTACCAAGCAAAAGTACAAGGTGATGGTGGGCAAGCAAGTGAGCAGGACCATGTATACTTCATATTTAGGTCTACCTCGATAGAGGCAGATCAAGCCAGCTACACGGTCTACACTTACGTGTACACGGTGCCGTGACCTCCCTCATCGTCAGTCCATTCCATCCATTCTCCTTGTGCCGCACAGACACTTCTTGTCTCGACCTAGCCCCTTTTGCCCTATTTCCTCTACCACCCTGTGGACGGGTGCTCTGATGACGCTCGCTCGGTGTCCTCCCGACTGTTCCCGGCCGACTGCTCGTTCCGTGAGGACGACAACGGCATGTTGCACATGCAGATCATAGGAGGGTAGGGTAGCTTTACAACGCTCTCTCATCTGTTGGAGATCGGCGTCAACGGGTTCCAGTTTTAGTTTAAAGATTCCGTCACTCTAGCTATTTTGATCAAGCTTGTCGGACGTGAGTGGTCGCGGACGAAGGTCCACCGCCGACATGTCCCTATTGCTTGACCAGGCCACGGAGACAACTTGGTGCTCTGACGTGCAGGGCGGGTATTGGCTCTAGAGACAGATGCCTGAGCGTATCTGAATCTGTCTTCCCGCATACACTTTGTGGGAAATCATACTCTGCAACCAGCAAGCAAGTGTCGGTTCAAGTAAATGAGCTCGCAATCTTGCTTCTGGCCCTGATCTTTGGGCCGTACAGGACCAGCACCCAAGGAACAAGAGTCAATGCGAGTCCGATGGCGCCCAAAAGGCTGCTTGCGGCCTGGAACCCCAGGTTCGTGAACAGCTGATTTGTTACCAGTGGAAAAGATCCGCCCAGGAGGTTTCGGCAAATTCCCGACGCCGCCAGGGCCGAGCTCGCGTACGTGTGATAGCAGTCGGCCGTGTAGTTGAAGGTGCCGAGGAAGATGCTGAAGATGCCCATCGTGGCAACGCTGATGGCGATGGTAGGGACGATCCAGTGGATGGACGAGTAACACGTCCACCCGAACCAGAATAGCCCGATTGGCATGAAGGCAGATTCGATGCACGTGAACATCAGCCTGCCCTCGGGACTGCCGTTGATCTTGACGGGATAGTGCTTGGCGGCCCATTTCTCCTGCCAGATGCTCAGGACCGTGGAGACAATGGCTCCAACGCACATGGCTGTGAATATCGCCCCAGTCTGTTCTAAGCTGAAGCCGTGGTTGACCTCAAACACCAGAGGGATCGACCCGAATTGCAGGTAGAGCACAGCCCAAGAGAACGAGATCCAGAGACTGAACCAGAACACCACGGGCTCAGTGACGAGCATGTTGAAAGGTCGGTAAAGGGAGACGGCGATCATCCTGGATATCGACATTCGGTCTTCGTCTGACCTCACTTTCCATCGGATCCGGCAACACCTCTTCGAGCCGCCCTTTTCCAGCTCCTTACCCTCAGCTTCCACTTCCATCCCCAAAGCTCCTGCGGCTTCCAGCTGCTCGTACCATTTGTTCAGCAGTTTCGCCTTGCGACTGAGGATGATGCCACCACGCGTTTCCTTGAAGAAGATGGTGACAAGACTGACCAGGGTACCACTAGTGATGACTTGGATCCAGAACACCCAACGCCACGACGTGCGTTGTGCAACGAACCCGGACACCAGAGGCCCAAGACCGGTGCCAAACAAGGTGGCTCCCGTGAAGAGGACCATAGGACCATTCCGGTCAGCTGTAACCCAGATATCTGCGAGAATACCTCCCACCATGGTAGAGAACGTGGATCCCCCAACACCGAGAAAGAACCGAGCCAGCAGCATCCCTGCGAAGGAGTCGGTCACCGCACACCCAATCTGACATATGACAAAGAGGATTCCAGTGAAGATGAAGACAGGTCTCCTTCCATTGATCTCCGAAAATGGTGCCAGTATCATAGGAGCAACCCCAAACCCAGCCGTGAAAATAGTGATGCCAGTCTTGTATGCCACGGCAGAGATCCCCCACTTTTCAGTCAGCTGTGCGGTTGGCGATGCATAAGAGCCGGCGGAATATGCGGCCGTGATGTTGACTGAGCAGGAGAGGTATGTCATGAGGTTCTTCCGCGTCAGTGACCAGGTAAATGGGTTGTCATAGTCACGCAGATTTGGACAGGGCGGAAGTTCATTCTTGGCCCCAGATGGTAGGACCGGGTTCAGCGGAATATCTGTTTCAAAGGTCAAGTATCGATGTTCAATGCCATCGGCGTCGGAGATTGGTGCATTTCTCGGGTCGTTTTGTAGAGATACATTCTGGGCCGCTACCTCGACAGCGCCGTCTACGGCGATAGGGTTCATGACATCTTCATGTGCAATTTCATCTTTTTGTAAGCCATGCTTGTTGAGCATAGCAGAGAACCGGTGGTTTGCAACCTAGAGCTATTGAAATATACTTTGGGGAGAGAGATGGAATACTCCTGGGCGTTGTTCCAGCGGCTTTAGCGGGGGGGAGATACACCTCTAATATGGTTTCTGGGCAACACAGCTTTCCTGGAGAGATCTGGGGATAAAGGGAGGGATCGACGCCGGCGTCAGGGGGCATAATCGATACCCTAACGAGCTCAGTCATTGATACCCTGTACATCTCCCCGCGGTGGCTCTCCGCAGCTCCGGGTACATTGCCGAGGTGCATTCCCCGGGGAGGAGAGACAGACTCCGGTCATGGCGGATGCTGTCTTGGGTGGATTCCATTGAGGGTCCTGCGCGTATATCCATTGTTATTTTTGATAAATTATCGAGGCGAGATTCAGAATGGTGCCGTGCATACAAGGCATTCCATGCATACCAGGCGTATAGTACGGCGTATAACGCGTCTGCTGATCGCGAAGCTGACGGCTACTGAGTCCGATCAGGGTCTTATCTTATCGATACATGTTGGTGCTCGTACGATGAACTGGAGCCAGCGTGTGGAGCATTACCAAGTATTGTCTGCTTCTTTCGCGCACAGATGAAGTGCAGAGGCGAGGGGCTGTCTGCTCCATTCTCTTCCACAGTTTCTTGAAAGGTACCAAAAGCGACGATTCATGCTGTCATTAATGAGTTTCGATCTGTGCCGCACAGGATCGTGTTTGAGCTTCTGGTGATGTAAACACTCCGGAAAACGTCATGATCTCATAACCACAAGCTTGATCATTTTGTCCGGGACTGTAAAAAGAGTGTGAGGCTTCGAAGATGTCTCGAGCTTCCCTTCCTCGATTTTCGTCTCTTGAAGATATTTTGGTATCAGAGCCTCGACTCGACATAATACTGCAGAGACTGTTAGAGGTACGCTACAGCCAACTAGAGCAATCCCTCCAAGATGGCTGCGTCTCCACAGACCTCAAGCAAGGAAATGATGAAGAATAAGAATGGTGCGCCTTCTTAGCTCCATTTCTTGTCAATTCACACTGACATGCTATCAGTCGCCGGTGGACAGCTGGCAATGCACTCGAGAGACCCTCCTACCGGCTTCTTTCGTGACGGATACTGCAGAACCGGACCTGAGGACAAGGGAAACCATTCGGTAGCAGCCACGGTGAACCAAGAGTTTCTGGACTTTACGAACTCGAGAGGCAATAACCTTGGCGATGCCGGCGTCAAAGACGGAATGAAATGGTGTCTCTGTGCACATCGGTGGAAGGAAGCATTTGATGCAGCGCAAAAGGGACAAATATCACAGTCGACGGTACCGCGAGTGCATCTTCATGCCTCGCACGAGAGCGCTCTAAACACCGTCAAGTATGCAGATTTGAGCAAGTATGCCATGGGGGGAGAGGCGCCGAAAGAGTCGACCAGAAACCGACAAGGTGCGCACAGTGATCCTGAGCAGCCGTCGCACGGGATCGCCCGCGAAACTACGGAGCTGAGTGGCAAGTCGCAGCCAGAGAGGGTTGGAGGATAGATTTGTACCGTATGTTGCTGGAGAGATGTATCGACGAGGGGAAATGGTGAAATCAAAAGGGATTGTTGATGGATGGTGGAATGTACCTCGTATTGCGTACCGTGTTATATTGGCGCGCAGCCGTCACATGTGGCGCCGTAACCGCAGGCCGAGGCCTTTGGAGAGATCCCGAAAATCCAAATGATCAAAGAATTGATTGCTCAAATCAACGCGATACTGTCCTCGTCAAACTTCGGCAGTCAGTCAGCTATGCGGCTGCCTTTGACATAGTATCTACCCATTTTACTTCCATTGTGCATACTTCTCCTGATGATCTATATTCACGACTGTATCGCCCGGCATCTTTTCTTCTCGTCCAAATTCATCTCAGCCCTCTCACGCGACTACGGAATTGCCCCCCTTCTCCGCATGCCATCTTCCGCGCCAGACATCTGAATGACATCCTCCCTTTGACATTGAATTAATCCTTATCGGCGCTGCTTTGTAAAGAGAGGCAAGCAGGCCTCGGGCGCAGTTGGCGCCATGTCGGACTCTGTGGGTATGTCTCAACTGCGTCTCTGATATCATGAGGGCACACGGCCAGAGTCTCACTTCCTCCCCTACAGACCGCGTCTTTGTCCATGCTCTCGCCACAGTCCGTCGTCTTCCTCGAACGGGCTCCTCCCGACCACCTCCTTCTGCCCGCCTACGTCTCTATGGCCTCTATAAACAGTCGATGGAGGGCGACGTCGAATCCATCCTTCCCCGTCCTACCTTGCCCTCTGTTTCGCCGGATCCAAATAACTCCAAGTCAAATAACGTTCACCGCTACGCATCTCGAGACCTACGTGTGCGAGAGGCCGAGGCCGAAATTGAGAAATGGGACGCATGGCATGCTTGTGCCGGCATGTCCCGCACCGAAGCGAAACGACGCTACATCAGTACACTAATAGAGACCATGAAGGAATATGCCTCGGGCACGCAGGAGTCCCGTGAGCTGGTGGCGGAACTGGAATTTGTTTGGAACCAGATCAAAAGCCAAAGTGGGAGCTCAGAGGATGAAGACGCAGAGTCGCCGACAAGACGACTGGAGCGGGCTGGGCTGGGGCAAACAACGAGCTTTGGAAGCCTACCTCCCGGTCAAAGTACGCGAAGAGAAGGCGAAAGCTTGAGCAGGTTAAATTCCGACCCCAGTCGACTACGAGTCCTATCACCGGTGTCACAAGGAGGGAGCGATGATATTGTGGAGAGCGAAGAGGTGGACCCCGTAACCCATGCAGTGATCGGCCCTTTGTCCGCTTCACGGCAAGCGACTTCTGATCCTGACTGGCGAAGTCGCATTGAATCTCACCTAAAACACCTCTCGACCGAGGTAGCTGCATTACGAGAACAACTGTCCGCAAACCACTTACTGTCCTCTTCCTCTTTCTCTCCCGAGGAGACCTCCAGGCGGAGAAGAATATTCTATCGAATATCAACGTGGGTCAAATGGCTGGCCTGGGCACTCGTGCGGCAAATCATGATTGATGCAAGTCTGGTATTCCTCTTCGTCATGTGGGCGAGGTGGAAGGGATACAAAGATCGACGGGTGGAAGACTGGGTCAGGCGGCGCTGGAAGGATGTTACAACAGTGCTTGCCGATATGAATGGGTGGTTGAAAGGTTTCATCTCGTCGGTACGGATCCCTGGGGTGCGGAACCTCTCCTGAAACGCGTCCAGTCCGATTCAAAGCAGTGATTCTGACTGCTTTCTGCCAGGAATATCTGCGGATTTTTGGTGGTCTCTTCCTGGCACGGTACAGGACGGAAATTGCCGATCAGTTCGGCGCACCCGCAGTGCTGAGGGATGAGACATAAACACAGAAGACATGAGACAGGGCTCGCAATGAGCTGATCGGTCTTCAGGCCGACCCGAGTTTGGATATGCTGACTCTTGGAATCGCAATTATGGATATGTGGATGCTGCTCGAGCATTTAAAAAGCAAGCGCTGACCTATTGCGCGATGTAGCTTGTTTCATTTACAAGTTCCACAAACCGATCACACCAACAACTCTGAAAAATCCGGGGATATATATGTGCAGGGGCCATCGTACCAACAAGCTGAAATGGGTGTTTTAAGGGATTCACGACCCGAAAAGGGAGGTCCGGACGTATCTGACATGGACGACGATCATGGCACATTGTTTGTGACATTTATGCCCTTTGAGGGCGGGAAAAACGGTTTCTTTAGAGGCTAGAGCAATGGCGAAAATCAAAAAGATTGGTGGGGGAGTGCTCGAAAGAAAAGACGATGTTCCAGACACAGAAGGCTACGTGTGGTGTTATTCTCGGTCCTCATCTTTTAATGATTTTGCTTGCCAGTTCACCTTGTTCAGCCGTTCCGAGTTGAATGTCTCGCAGTGTCGTGATGGTTGATTACCCCGGGTCCAACACTCGTCAAACTGTGGCACGTCTCGGCAGGATCCGCTGCGGATCGGACGAGGCCCTGAACATGCTTGCCTCGTACATCATTGTGTGATTGTCCTTCTTCAGCCTCGTTATCTTCTGCGTCTTTCATCTTCAGAAGAGCCCGGACATCCTGTTCTGCGTCCGTGTAGTTGGTGTACTGCGACAGAAGAGAGCATCATGTGTACTGCTCCTCCCCCTGTACGAGGTGCTGATCCATGTTTTGCCCTCCCCTCTTCCCAGCTCATATCAAAAGTGATGAAGACCGCGCCGTGCCGCGTGTCAGGATCTTTGGAAGAGAAAATTGAAACTTGTCAACACTTGCTGGAGCGGTGAATGCCTATTGTGCGGGGAGAGATCAAGGACGACGTCGTCGACCTCGATCGATAGAAGTGTTATCCGCAGACCAAGAATGCAGGCTTGAGCATGGACATAAACCCCCCCCCCCCCCCCCCCCCTGTGAGCCAGCCTTGTCAGAAATGCCAAACGTCAGTCACCCAACTAACGGATGACAGACTACCAACAAAAGTATAACCTCACACCGACAGAAGCTGCTCCCTCTCAAGACTGGCAGACAAGCAAGAGGATGGAGGAACTGATAGATATCCAGCGAGTCGGCCTCCAGCGCCAGTACTTCTGCATAGGTTGGTAACTGAGAACAATCGGGTCAATTTCAAGGCGATAGATACTATTTTTCAGATTCGAGGCCCGAACTTCAGCACAGTACCAGTCACTCGAGATGCCAGAGCGGACGGCCTCGTGGAATCTTCAAGCAGTATGAAGCTCGAGGGCATGGTACGAGCGGAGGGCGCGACACGTATCACGATAGTTTGAATGCTGGGACGGTAGAATTGATGGGTGGCGAGGCATGTCGAATCAAGTGGATCACAGTCTCAGGAGAAGTGAGATCCGTTCAGATTTGATAACCTACTCCCTTCATTCTGACAACTGTGAGCAGAGGAATTGTATGTCGTGAGAGGAATAATTGGGATATGATAATATGCATCGAGTTTAGAGTCTGATTAGGGTGAGAAGGGAGGAATAACTCTAAAGAGAACCTTAACCATAGGGCAATATCAGTCGCTAGTTAGACTCTGAAACTCTCCAAGTCAAGCTTCGTAGTGGTGGTGGTAGCCTGGTTAATCGCCCGCCTTTCGTGTCGACGCTATAGAAGCAGAGAAGTTCCCTTTCCACCGGCCAGAATCACTGAAACCTTCCGGCTAATAATAATCAATATCTCTGTCTGGAATCGCTCGCTTTTGGCTGACCTCACACCTCGATAGTTGTCAGCAGTATCGTGTCACCTTCAGCACTGTCTTCACCTTTCTGATCTCGCATTGTCAGGTCCCTCGGCTCAATTCTGCCCTGTGAGTGTCTTCACAATCGCCTGACTATAGACTCTGCATTGGGGCTTGTAACGGCATCGACTTCGACTCTGTGTTTTGTTGCAGGCCTGACCGAGAAGCGCTGACCCTGATCACTTTTTACCTGCCTTCTCCCTCTCTTTCCGGCGATTCAGCTCTTTTCGCCTTTTCTCCTCTTCCTTCTGGCGATCGCTCTCGCGTTTCGCGTTTTGGTTGCTGATCTGCTGAGCTTTTGCATCCTTGGCCTTGTCGACCACGATGGGCAGGAGCACGTCGCTCTTCTTGAAGAGTCTCGCCGAGTTGATAAACTGCCTGCCAATGGCAACGTCGAACGGAGGATTGTGCAGAACCATGAACTCGACCAGCCAGCTCCGGCTGGTCTGCATCTTGCCACTGAAATGGAACTGAGCTTTCAGTAACCCTTCTGGCTTGAATGGCTCTCCGTCGGCATCACGAAGCTGGCCTCCGGTCCAAGGCTCGATTGGTATGTTTGTCAGCCTGGCCTTCTCGACGCTGATTGCATTCCCATCCATGCCCGTGTCGATCATGGCTCGGCTAAAGATTTTGCCCTCCTCATTTTTGACAATATATATGTCCTCCTCGAAATCGTAGTAGCTCTCGTCGTCTTCCGTCTGTGCGTGGGGATCGAATGGATTGTCGTCCACGCCGGTGATGGGGTGGACTCCATTCTCGGACTGGGCATCGTCCACGACCTGTAATTAAGCGTTGTCAGCACGGGGTATTATGTATTTAGCTCCAGGAGAACCCGCTAACCTCTATCGTGATCCTTCGTGGCAGCTGGCCGGGCTGCAAAGGATCAACGCTGCACACCTTTTCCAGCTCCTGGAGAACAGTCGAGGCCGCATTTCGAGCCTGTTCCGCCCATACTTCCTCCTCAGTAGGCGTAATAACAAGATCCAGACCTGCCGAAGCCAGGTGATGCAGAGCACTCGTTTTCTTATCCTGGTGGGGTGAAGGATCACGGCCAAAGAACGAGTTTGACCAGGCGCGGAGGCGCGCCCGACGATCAGGCGCCATCCGCGTGGGTTCGGGCCAAAGGGCCGGGGCGGCACGGGAGTACAGGATGGGGACTTGTGGAATCACAGGTGCTGACGGGACTATAGCATCAGCTAGTGAGCAGAAAACTGGAGAGAGAATGGCCTTTCATGCGTGACAGAGGTGGTGGCAAGGTGGACATCCGTTGGTGAGCACATATGCCTGAACATCCAAGAAAGCCTTACTTCTTCGGCTGCCGGGGGTTTTGTATGCGTCAAAATGGCCAGGTCTCGTATCAGCCCCTCATATGCGGCTCTGCCTCGCGTGGAGGGGGAGGGAGCGCCGCGTGGGCTGTGCATTCAGCTTGCATATTTGCTCCGCCACAATCTTTTCAGCCGGATGGCATGTGCTCGTGAATGATACAAAACTGCTGGGCCGCGATTGCCACTTTATGCCTCAGGAATCAAGTAGCTGACTCAATTTGGCGTTTTAAGGACCCAACCATCCACCTGCCATGTCTGTGGAAAAACCTTCATCATCGTCACCGTCGGAGACGATAGTCGAGAGTGAAGCCGCCGTGGTGCAAGCCCCGCCAGCTGGCATCACCCGGTCTTGGAGCATGGGCAGTTACCCCAAGCTGTCCGACCTGATGGGCACCTGGCCAGAAGTGGCGATCTTTCGTCGCTTCGGTTCACTGAACGCCCAGAATCTTTTGTTCTTGCAGGCCGAGATCACTCATCTTGAGACAGAACTGAGAGATCTACGAAATGAAGAGGAACAGAGGCAGGACCTCAAAGGCATCGAAGCGCAACGAAACTGGTATAAGTTGAGCCAGGGTCTGGAGGATGACGACGAGCCCTCTGAGCAATGGGACATCATCCAGAAAATCCGCGTCAAGTTGAGGGAATACAGTACGCTCACGCTCACGCTCCTGGACCCCTCATTCAGTTTCCGCATCCCTCTGACATCTCTCTAGACGAGTCGCTCCTGCAGTACAAAGAACTGTGCACATTGCAGAATCCCACCAAGCACGATCTGAAAATGCTACGAGTGTGGCTCGAGCACCGCGACCATGGCGACAACTTTCTTGGAGGCGTCGAACGGGATATTTTCCACATTCACGATCCTGACGATCCCAGCTGCGACGATAGGTCCTCCGATCTTGTCACTGTCTCGCATGAAGCCGTCGAGAAGGACTTCTTTTCCCGATGGGTGTCGGACGAACTTGTCGGGCGATTTCACAACTTGATAGGACGTCGATGGAAGGTACGTACAACTGCTTCAACAGTCCCCTCGTGGCCGAAGATAGCGAGCTCTCCTTCTAACCACCTCTCTCTCAGCGACCTGTCGACCCCGAATGTGGCATCTACAATTACCGCAAAACCCATGTCCGCGCCCTGTCGCATCTGGTAGGAGTTGTGCTTGCCTCGGCCATCCCCGCGGCCTCGATCTTCACCCTCTACTTTGTCAACAACATGGTGGACCGTCTCGGGGTCCTTCTGGCCTACTCGGCCCTGTTCTCCATCTGCCTGGCTATTTTCACCACGGCACGGAGAGTCGAGATCTTTGCGGCGACTGCTGCGTATGTCACATTCCTCTCCGTCCTTGCTCTGTCTTGGAATCTGGAATCTCATTGACCCTGGTGGACTGCTACCGCTACTAATGTATTTCTTTTCTGGCTTCTGTTCGTTGATTGCCCGAAGTCTGGTGTTTGGGGGCTTGGGGTTGTTACGGAGTCTTATATTAATGCAATATGTCCATGTTACGATGGCACTGACGTTTCTCTTGACAATACAGCTTCGCGTCTGTACAAGTCGTCTTCGTCGGGTCGACACAGATTCTTCCTGCCACTCCGCCTTACTAAAGCTCGCAACTATCGGAGAAGATCTGGATTCCTACCAAACTCAGGGGTCTACCAGCCACTAGAGAACCAGGGGAGAACCTAGGTCGGCCATGGTACAAGGTATTGCAATTGTAGCGAAGGACGTGAACTAGGGTGGAAAGGTAGCTGAGCTCCTCATCGTGAGGGATTCCATATGGCTTCCACAAGAATTGCTGCCGTGACGGTTCCTGGGTCCCACGTACATCAATAACGAGGGCAAAATCCATCTCCGACAGTAGTTGGCCATAGCTTCTCGCAGCACATCGGGTCTTTGTGCTGGTCTCCGACCCTGCCATGGTGATCCAAGTTCGGAATGTTGCCATCAACCGTCTCTTCCGCATGAAAGGTAGCAACAGTAACACCTCAACTGTATAGTAAACAAAACGGGAAACAGAATCCGGTGAAGAAGATGTTCCGCCCGACAAAATGACGGCCAAAGCGACACGAGCCAATCCGCGCGCTCTACATGAGGTGGCCGGGTGCATTCAATGTCTGGGTTGTACTCAGGCTTCTGCTACCATTGGCAAGCTTAAAGGGCTGTGGTGGAAAGATTCGAAGCCTGTTTGTGCTGCCGTGCGTTCTGGTTCCCTTTCAGCACCGGGATTTCCACGCGAATGGACCCCTTCCTCCCCTCACCCCTTGAAGGTTCGAATGGTTGATCAGGACGATTTGCTTTGGAGGTTAGAAGTACTACCTCGTCTAACACCATTTGATGTGACGCGATCCGACATAATGTCTCCAAGGTCCCACGACTCGACATGATCAATCGCATATGAATATCTGTACATTGACCCAACCGCCAAATCAACAATCAATATGGCTGTCTATGACCCAAATACGGCAAAAGTGGCCATTATCACCGGTGCCGCAGTAAGCGGACCCAACCTCTCCCTAAGAATACTGGAGCTGATGTACAGAAGACTAGCATCGGTGCCCTGGCGGTACGCAACTTGGTGAAAAGGGGCTGGCACGTCGCCATCCTCGACATCCTCGAAGAACAGGGTGAGAAACTATCGGCGGACACCATCTTCATCAAGTGCGATGTTTCGAGCTACCAACAGCAGGCGGAAGCCTTCCAGAAAGTGAAGCAGCTCTGGGGAAGGCTGGATGCGTTTATTCCGAATGCCGGTATCGTGGAGAGATCGTCCTATTATATTTTCCGACATCGAGACAGCACTGAGGTGCCACCGGAGCCAAACACCCTAGGAGTTGATGTGACGTTCAAGGCGGTAATGTATGGGGTACAGCTGGCCATACACTTCATGAGACAGAATGCCACCCCCGGAGGCCAAATCGTCACGGTGGCCAGTGTAGCAGGGCTATATGGTTCGAGAATATATCCAGAGTATAGTGGCAGCAAGGCTGCGGTAAGCACTTTCTTGCGTCTCTATCTGCTGCTTTGTGTCTGGTAGACCCGACGCGAAGATCGCTGACACGGACGGCAGGTCATTGGCTTTTCTCTGGCCATTGCCCCTATCCTGCAGAAAGTAAAGTCTCCTGCCGCCACGCGATGGTGTTATGATGCTGACAGCCTTGTATAGAAAGAGAACATTCAGCTCAACACTGTCGCCCCCGGGATTGTGAGGGCAGAGGTTGTCCCTCAAGCTTTGATCGACGCAAATGGATACGAAAAGTACGCATATCACCACTTGGACTCCCTGTGAGCACTGAGCATTCCCGGATGACAAACCTCTGTTCTGTAGTACAACGTCAATGGACAGTGTGATAGATGCAATCTTGTATTTCCTCGACAACAAGGACATTGCCGGCCAGCTTGTGGAGGTTTCAGGAGAGAAAAGGTTGGTCGTGCAACCCCGACCGTATGCGAATGGTACTCCCTCGCAACGGGCCGCAGCGATGTGGGCACCTGTTTTCCAACATGTACATGGGGAACCCTCAGAGGTTCCGGGAGAAATCACCTGGTGAACATGACTGGGCCATCCATGATGGACAGTGTGTCAGTCGACCGAGGACGATAACGTAGGGAGATGGGGTTGGTTGAGTCGGCTACCTGGCCATCTACTTGTAGTGTCTGATCTCGGGCCAGCGGCTGATGTCTTCTTCATATCTATCCTTGAATCCAGGGCGGTAAACTGTAGTATCACGAATCTCTCACTCCCTTGTCTGTACTCTTCGTGACCTTCTCCATGGATAGCACGTTGGCCTTGTCTCTCTCCAGCTTGTACAACATGGCAGAGTACGCGTCCGAGCCCAGCACCACCCGAAATGGTGGATTTTCGACGTAAATCAAGTCGTACATGGCCCCGACAGCACGGCAACCTCGACGGAGCGGCAAACATTGCTGGGGCAGGACAGATACCGGATTTCCTCGGAGAGCTGAGCGACCAGGAGCTTGACAGTATGATCAACATGAACCTGCAAGGGCACTTTAGCTGCATCAGAGCCATGTTGCCGCACCTGAACCGTGAGAGCAGTGTTGTCTGCGTCACCTCTGGCACGGGCCTATACGGCATGCCTGGGTGCAGTTTGTACGGGGCTGCGAAGCATGGCACTAATGGCATCATTCAGAGCCGCAGCGAAGGAATACGGCTTCAGAGGTATCCGCTTCAATGCTGTGGCGCCGGGATTGATCGACACTCCAGCAGTTCACAACGCTGGAGGACTTGAGACTTTTCAGCCTCTCGTTGATGCTACAGCCCTCCAACGGATTGGAAAGCCGACTGAGATCGCTCACGTTGTCGCCTTTCTTCTGAGCGAAGAGTCCAGCTTCATTGATGGCGAGGTCATCAGTGCTGATGGCGGCTTCAGATGCTGAGATTCGGGCGAGAGAAGCTGGAACGGTCCCGCAGAGTCGCCCGAGGAGCTTAATTTTGCCATCTATGCGACCTAAACAGGAGAATGAAGACTATGAAGCTTGGTCGATACAGCATCATGGCCTCCGCAAGCTTCTGGTGACACAATCTGCAATTGAACATTGTGCCATGGGTTTGGGAATTGATACTCGTCAAAACTCGGAATCATCAACCTCAGCTACTGGTAACATGGATATTGTCGAGATGCCGGTCAGTATCTTGAACGGGTTTGCTTTGGCTCGAATGTGTCTGTCATGATACTCGCATCTTCGATGGCTTGTCTCGATAATAGCTGCTATAGGACGGTCGGCAGCGTCTTGTCACCTACAGGATTGTCCTCGCACATACCGAATTCTAGCATCCTATAGTCCCTTTGGACCATATTGCACTCTGGGCTCTGACGGTGTCTGCTGTGGACGAAAGCTAGAGATAACATGGACTACCTTCCCATCACCACCATATTGAATATATTGCGGCCACTCCCACCAATTCCCGATTCGTTCGCCAGGCTCTGATGTGGCGCTCGTCGACTGTCTCCAGGCTGATATACTTCTTGCTCCTCCGGGCAGGCCTGTATATCGCGCTGAATCTTTCCTGAGACGATTTAGTCGCGGCCTGCTTCACATGCATCGGAACGGGAAGAAAGCTGGCTGGCTTGCTCCTCACTTACTCGCCAGGACATGAAAATTAGACGTTGCGTCCTATGTAACTATTCCGGTATGGATTCAAAGACGCAAACGAAGAACACATGTGACAGTCTCTTTTGTTTTTGCCGGATATGATATTGTCGAGGACGGAGCTGAAGAATCTCTCTGTTGTTTCGAGCCACGGCTTTTGTCAACGCCCTGGCAGATTATGCGGCGCCTTTTATCTTTTCTTTTGTGGGAGCAAGAGAGAAGTCTGGGGTTTGGTCGTGGAAGAGGTACAGACATTGGAAAGGTTTGCCCCGTATTTATTACGTCTTTTTTGGCGGAATTTCCGGAATCGGTCGCACGCACCCCAGTGGGTGACAGAATTCCGTCCCCAATGAGGCAGGAATTCAGGGGTGTTCGGATTGGCAGGTATAGCAGTGTGCTCGTAGGCTGTTCGCCGTGTTTTCCTCACTAGTTTCAGTATTGGAGTAGTCGATGTTGAAGTCTGGGACCTCGGGTCTTGGACTTGTTACAGTAGATGTGCTGAGGGACCCGAACGAGTCTGACACCATTGCCATGAACCGCGAGGTCGCTGCCATGGTTTCCTCCTGGCAGCGAATTTCTTTACCCAAGGTCTCAAAGTTTCTCCCCGGCTTCGAGAAAGAGTAAGGCGTACCGATGGTGCCAGTTGACTGTACAGACCAACAAACGTCACGATGTAGGTTGGATGGCTCGCTGTTCGGTCCAGCATTGCTATGTTGCCCAGCTGCACACGCAATTACAAGGTACGAGGTGTTCCAGCCTTAGCTTGGGGTCAGTCTAGAGCCTGGGCGGGTTCCTGGGCTTCCCCATGTTGGCGGTCATATATTACTCCGTACAGCTACCTACGTCTACCGGGCAAACTACCAAGGCTATTCTCGAGGGCATATGCCCCCATTGAGACCCACGAGGAATCGTGCTCAACGACTTTCCAAGCCTTGCCCCTTAGACTGTGGCCCAGAGGTCACTTTGTCACGATAATGCTTTCGATCAATCTAGCTCCTAGATCCTTACCCTTCTAAATTCTTGTTCTATGTGATTAGGGTTCGAGGTGTGTGTTCTATGGTTTTGGGGCAGGGCGGCTTGCCCAGACAATTGGCCCGGCAGGATCAATGAACGGCAATGTCTTGCCTGTCACCTGCGAATTCTCCTTGATGAAGTTGTTTGGGAAGCCGAGGTTGAACGGCACCACACCTTCCAGGGCGTCGACTTGCTTTTGAGTCAACCGGATGTCCAATGCTTGCAGATTTTCTTCCAATTGCTCGACTCGTCGACCCCCGATGATGGGGAACACATTGATATCCACTGCCTTGTGCAAGATATAGGCCAGCGCGACAACGGGAACCGGGACATTCCCCAGTTGTTTGGCGACCTGTTCGAGTGCCGCGCTGACAGCGGCCTCTTGCGGGGTCTGTTCTGTCCCCTGATGGCTTCGAATGCCCTCGCCGGTTTCCTTCCGCGCCTCGATTGATTTCTTCGATTGCAGCCTTCCTCCACCGAGGACCCCCCATGGAGCCAAGGCCATGCCGTAATGACGGGCCATCGGGATGATGTCGCGCTCGAAATCGCGGTCGACGATACTCCATTTGCCCTGGTAGATGGAAAAGGGCGTCTTGCCGTGGAACAAAGCATAGTCGTTGGCTGCAGCCACCAACCACGCTGGAGTGTCAGAAATCCCCAGGTACAGAACCTTGCCCTGCTCGACCAGGTTGTGCAGAGAGTCCATTACCTCGGGGATCGAAGCAGACCAGTCCTAACAGGGACACAATGATAAGGGGTATGTTTCTTCTCGACAGGTGCGGCAAGCAGGGAAGTACGCACCCACATGTGCAAGTAAAGGATGTCGAGCCATTCCGTCTGGAGCTTGTGGAGAGAGTCTCTCACGCTCGTGTACAAATTGCGGCGAGAGTTGCCAGAGTAGTTGATGCCAGTGCCTGGGCCCGTTTCATAGAGTTTATAGGGCATCGTGTATCTGTCATCAAGAGGCGTCAGAAGTCGTTGGCCGCGGGCGCCATTCCTTACAACAGTCTTACTTTGTGGCAAGGATGATATGGTCCCGATTCTTGCGGGTTTTCATCCACTCGCCAACATATTTCTCTGACAATTCATTTTGGTAGTTGCTCTGTCGTCGCATTCCACTGTCAGCCACCACGGCCCAGCAGTAGATGCTCAAGTGGCATGTAGATACTCACCGCCGTATCGATGAAGTTTCCGCCTTTCTGGAAATAGGTGTCGAGCAGCTTGAAGGAATCTTCCTTGTTAGCACTACCCATTATCTATGAACGGCAAGTCAGATAGTCAGCCGATTGTTCTTAAAGACAATATCGTCACGAACGCTATCCGCGCGGAGATGCCGAGTCCATGTCCCAGAGTCGAGCACCATGACATAGCACTTGGCCATTCCAACACACACGCCTACACAAGGGGAGGAGAAGACTTTACTTGGGTCCAAGCGTCACCCAAAGACATCGTGCCCAGTTGCAAAGGCGACACCCGCACAGCCGCGGTACGGGAAAGGACTCTGTAAGTCCCCAGTCCATTCCGTTCCATCGTGACCGATTTTCCAATGAGAATTTCTACGGTGGTGGTGAAGAGCTTAGCTGGCCAACAGACAGACAGAGAGTCAAGGAAACATAGGCTTATATGTGGTGATGATTAAGTCGGCATGCAAAGTACTTGTGACCATTATTTTGCATTGAGGGCCATGGATATCTGTGTGCACACTGGTGTCGAGAGCTACGACAAACCTTCACGGCGCTAATTTTTCGTCTCCACAAATTCCCCCGGACTGAGTTCGGATTGCCAGGCCGAATTTAGACGTTCCAAGTCTTCCATGACGATCACCATGCCAGCCTGGTTGCTTCCTTGCATGCTCCCTCGGTTGTTCCATCCAGTACTACCTAGTTGATTCAACCTCATTGCCATCCTCTGTGAAGGTCAGAACCCAGACATATTCATTGTCGTAGCCCCCTACATCGGATTCGCCGTGGCTTTTGAGGTGCAGGATCACCTTTCGTCTGTCCACGTCCACCGCTGTGACTTCGTCGTCGATGATGTTGATCTTTATGTTGTGCAAGTACGGTTGTAATGAGCAATGTGGTTGGCCGCTGCGCTTAGAGGCATTCCTTCTGTCTCTTTTTCTTTGTTATTTCTGGCTACCTTGTTCACACATGCATCCACAGTTCAATTTTGTGAAGTGAGATGGTTCTGATGTGGTGCGCCTCAGGTTGGGTACATTGAAGTATTAAATTCCTACTGTTTTAGTATTTGAGGCTCAACGACTTTCACCATCTTCAGATTCGTCCAATTAAGTGTGGGGATATCAGGCAGCATCGCCAACATACGATCCGTCAAATAGGGTATAGCTTTCTGGTCGGAAAGGACACGGAATATTTCCGTTCTCGGCTAGTCTACCTCGCATTGTGACTACAAGTTCCACTTTGAGGTGTACTTCAGAACCATTGAGCTAACTTCTTCAATATATATTCCTGCCCACTCCATCCCGAGGTCGATATTTATACTCTTGTAATATCAGCTGACTTGCTAGGTACGATTCCCAACAGATCCCTATCCCTTGGAATATTTGTTGATCCAACTCTGGAGGGGTTGGGGACCATAAGATTTACAATCTAATCCTCAGGCGATAGAGTAACATTGACTCGTGCTCGGATGTGGTAATTAGTGTCTCTACTTATATCCTGGTCGACGGATTGCCGCCCATAGTATACCTGTCAATCGACTGTCTTTGACGAATATTCAGGGGCCCGACGTCAAAGAAGTTTGGTAGTGGAGGTATCACTGTACGTGCCAGTATGCGTAGCCTTTAGGAACTACTTTCCTATCAATTCCTGGCAGCCCGCGCCAGGAATCATGTCCGAGGAAATTCATCCAGGTACTAGCGGAGGTCAAGGAACCCCTTCTCTTGCAAGAGATCTCACCCTGCGGACCTACCATTTCACCACGAATAGCAATGGAGAAAGTCGCCACGGTTGTTTACATAATGTCCCAGCGCAACCTCTTGGCGGACAGGCCCAGTTCAGAGATTGATACCCCATAGCTTCAACGTTGTTTAAACCAGCACCCATGAGCCCTGGGAAAGAACTGGGGAAAGATTGGAGGTGGTTATGTGACCCTCGCTCAAGAGCTACCCCATCCTACGGGTTGCCGGAGAGAGAGGCTGGGCTGGATAGCTTGTTTGACAGGGGCTATGTGGACTCTCGGAGAGTGCCTCAGTGGGTATATTGCAAAAGATCTTGGGTGGATAAAGACTTAGATGATTGTGGCCATAACGCTGTCTGGCATCTTCCTGGGCAGTGAGTCGCTTCACACCATCTGTAAGAATGTCATGACCTTGCTAACCAGCATCAGGTATGGCGAGTTGTGACGTTGACACCAAGCCGCAGGCCTGCGTTCTCCTATCCTTCGCCACGGTTTTTGCTGCTTACGTCGAAGGGCTGTCAATTGCGACCACCACTCTCACCATACCCGACCAGCAACAAATGGGAGCAGGCGCAGGCTTCGGTGGCTGCATCCCATGCACCATTAGCTCGATTGCCCAAAACGGTATATTCTGTTGTCTTATCCAACTCCATCAAGGATGAGGTGGTGGTTCTTCGAATCCATGATTCCTGTCCGGAAAAGGGCCTGAAGGCGGCGTCCCAAGGTCAAGATGCTGTGATTTGCGCCCTGAGCTCGTCCAACATCCTACAACAAATCAAGTTTGCCAATTTGGCTATCGCTGCGGGAGTCAAATGGTTTGTTCCTGCCGAATGGGGAGCGAACAAGAAGGCGGCACAGCATGGTGAAAAGCTTCCTCTACACACTTACTGTGTTGACTCGGAGTAGTAAATACGACGTCTTTAGAAAGTCACGGAAATTTGTCACAGTATAGTTTGTGCTGAATACGGCTTCCTCCTCTATCAACACCTCAGCAACTATTATTGGAAACAAACTTGACTGCCAGAAGAGTGACGATTGCAATCTCGCGGTGTCTTCATGTATCCGACTGGAGCGGTTATGGCTCGGTTTGCTGGGGACGCAAATATACATCAAGAAATCGACTAGTACTTTTGATCTAGTCTTTTAGGGGAGTATGACACCAAGTGCTTCATAGACAGCCCGGAAGTACTTTTCGGTTCTCGCTGACTGCATCGTGCCTTCTGCCATTCGATTCATCACATAGGAGAATGTCAGGCCCCGATCAAGATCCATATACCCTAGACTTCCTCCCCAGCCACCCCAGAAGCAGATCTTCCCCTGAGGACAATGGGGTAGAGTCTTGGCTGTTCCGCCGCCAGTGAGGCAGTATCCTATTCCCCAGCGAAGAGGTATCAAGAGAACGAGGTCTTCTCCATCAGCTTGTTGGCGGAATATTAGGTCGATCGTCTGGGGTGATAGAAGCTTCACACCATCCACGGTGCCTCCGAGCGTGATGACCGATAGTATTCGCGCCACTGACCTAGCGTTTCCATGGCCGTTGACAGCAGCAATATCAGCTTTCCTCCACTCTGGTTTATGTGCGTTCAGAGCGTCAAAAGGAGGTGCCGTGAACGTCTTCACCGCTACGCTGTTTTGGTCCATTGCTGAGAAATCTAGATCCAATGGCGGTGGAGGAACTAGAGGTGAGATTCTAGGCCAGTCTTGCTCCAGGGCTCCAATCTGAAAGTCGGCGCCTAACGGACCAGCAATCTCTTCGGCAACGAAATCTTTCATCGACTTTCCACTTGTCCGACGTACAAGCTCGCCAATCAAGTGGCCCATATTGATTCCATGGTAGCCTGAAGCTGTTCCTGGCTCCCACCAGGGGCTCTGTCTGGCCAAGTGAGCAGTGGACTTTGGGAAGTCATAGATCTCGTCCCACGTTATTGGACTTTCGAAACCAGAAACGCCCGAGGTATGAGAGAGAAAATGGCGCACAAGGACATTTTCTTTGCCGTTGGCGGCAAATTCTGGCCAATATTTTGACACTTTCTCGTCCACGTCCAACTGACCGCGATCGACCTGAACGAGGCCTGCAAGGCTCGCGATTGTTTTGCCTGATGACCATATGTTGACGATCGTGTCACGGTTCCACGGTTGAGTCCGTGTCTGGTCCAGATGTCCTCCCCAAATATCAACAACATTCTCACCTTTTAGATTGACAGCGATGCTGGCGCCCAGTTCATTGCCCGTGTCCAGCTCTTCTTGGAACGCCTTGCGGACTTTTTCAAAGCGAGGGTCGCAGAAGCCATCGACTTGAGCCATGGGCTTGACACCACAGTTACCCCAGCTGATGACAAGGGATTGATGGGGAGTAAACAGGAACTGACAATATTGTGGGAGTGTGATAATATGGGAACTAAACAACCCCTCTGAGCCAAAAGGAAAGGGGGATGGAGAACGGCGTAGTAGCCTTTGATCGTGGATTTTATCTATCTGGACAAGACCATAACCTGTCGCTGGTGATTTGACACGCCAGCACGTGAGAACGTGCCCAGGTCGGGGTCCTCATGTTCTCTCGGGTTTTACGACTCGTCTCCCTCAGACTCCGGGCTTTCGGAAAGTTAAAAGAGAAGCGGGGAAGCCAGAGCTATTTGTCGTGTGGCTCGACTTTTTCTCGTTGGCGTTCTGTACCCATAAGGAGAATTCTGGAGGCGGAGGCTAGCAAAGTCACCTTAGTCTTTGACGAAGTAGCCTGCAATTGACTCAAACTTATACTGGATAGGTTTGAATTGACAGCCTTTCCTATATCGAAGCACCCAGATGCCGTCCACTCTTGACTCCGAGTATCTCCAGTCTCTTGAGCGATGGCTTCCCCTGCTCGACCCTCTAGAGAAGCCTGCCAATGGAGACGTGGCTTCGCGGCATGAAGTTGGCGAAAAGACGTGGGCCATGTTCATGGAGGTTTGGCTGGTGGTACTCGAAGTCGAGCACACCAACAACATGCGAATCACAGACAGCGAGAACTGTTGTATCCCATATTTTCGATGCTCTTACAGAGGCTGGCCACGATAGATACGAGTTTGATAGTAACGGCGTTGGACGCCGTACGTGGACGAGTAATGCCTTGACCCTCCTTCAGAGTAAGAATTTTGGAAGCTCAGAACGAATCCAGGAAGCTCAAGCCGAGACACGTATTATATTGACCATTAAGACATTGCCTTATCAGTCAAAGTCATGTGGAACACGCATCAATTGTTATGTCAGCCATATGCTCCCTTGTGCTGCTTGGAGGCCTTACGTGCCTCTGTCTCTCGGCATTCAGTTAAGGCCGCATTAATCCGTGTCTTGGCACCCCAATGAAGCTTTTCTCCGCGAATATCAGGAAGGAAACGAATTTCACCATTGCCACCAGACTCGTTGCTTGTTGTTACCAGTAGCAAACACTATCTTGGAAAAAAAGAAATATGCTGTTTAAGCTCGTGCACAAAATGGAGCAGATGACAAATAATGCTTATCCTCTCTCAAGTGTTATATTTTGCCCTCGGAGGAGGCTTTAGACGAGACTCGAGAGTAAGAGCATTGCTTGACTGACCAACCTTCCATCACGCAAGATAAATCATTCAGACCTGGGCTCTGTGGTTCCCATTCCGAATTCAACGAAATAAAGCAGCGATGGTAGAAGCAAACAAGTTCACTGTCCAAGTCGATGATGGCGTCAGGTTACATGTCAAGGTCTTCGGACACGACTCATCCAACTCCAAGCCTCTGCTGATGGCCCTTCATGGAGCACCGGGACTGTTCACTCATGCGGAGCCCGAGGCCTGTTTCGCCCATCTCTCTTCACTCTTCCAAGTTCTGGTCTTTGATGGAAGGGGAAGTGGTGCGTCTGACTTGAGTGGGCCGTTCACACATGAACGCTGGATGAAAGACATCGACTATCTCAGGTATGTGGACGCGCTATAAGAGCGCCGTGGACGACTAACAGCGAGGATAGGTCCTGGACACAGGTAGAAACGTTTGTACTTGCTGGCCATTCTTATGGCGGCTTTCTCGCCCTTGACTATGCTGTCAACTATCCAGGCCGCCTGAAGGGCCTGATCTTGATTGATACGTGGACGGTCGGGACTTTGGGCGCGATGGGTGTTCTGGCCAACATCTTGTTGTCGGATCGGGTCAAGGTGGACAAGGAGCGTCAGGTCCGCGTCTGGTCCGGCAATCTGCTCAACAACGAGGATTACCGGGATGCGATTGCAGAACTGCTCCCCTTTTATGCACCTCCAGAGCACGCTTCGTTGAAGTGGACATCGGATTCTGGGGACCAGGTTACTACCTCTGGCGAATTCTTTGGCCCGGGTGGCAACTTTCATTCCAAGACCCAAAATTGGGCGTTTGGTTATAACATGCCTCGTTTCGACGTACGACAGCGACTACGGGATATCAAAGTAACGTCTCCTCTGTCCTTCTCTTTCTGTGACCTGCTGCTGATCTTATAGGCTCCTACGCTCGTCGTTGTCGGACGCTATGATTATGTCACCCCGGTGAGCTTTGCTGAGGAAATGGCCAAAGGCATTCCAGATGCACAGCTGGAAGTGTTTGAGCACTCAGGACACAGCCCACAATCGGACGAAACCGACAAGTTTCGCAAAGTTTTGCTCGGTTTTTTGCAAGCTCGGATTCTCTGAATATATTGGCGATGAGTTGGGATTTTTCCAGTGAAGCTTTCAGTAGTATATGAGTTGGTCGTAAAAGTCGTATTTTCCCAAGTGACCTGGACAGCGACTTGATTGTACGCAGTCTTTGCAGCTCCTGGCATCGTTGGCCTTAGGCGTCAGGGGCGGGTGTGGGGTGGGCGCAATGGGGGAGTACGGGGAAGCCTGAGGGCCTGAGGTCCCTAAGACTATTCATTTGGAGAGGCAAATCGATCCCTGGGGCTGCCCCTTCCATGCCCGTAAAATGCAAACCAATTGAAAACCTTAATGAAGGTGGGGTGATCCTTTTCTCGACTTCTATTCACAAACACGGCTTTTATCAATCCTCCTTTGCTTTGAGACCTTGAATCTGGATGACATTCTTTCATGACAATGCCTCCAATTCTCATGACTGTATGAGCCAATTGTCATGGCGTCTGCAACTCCCGAATCTTCAAAGAGACATCGCCAGAGCAAAGCGTGTGGTCGTTGTCGGAAGAGAAAAATACGAGTACGCAAGCATCATTCCATGAATCATCGTCCTGGTTTCAAGCCTCACCGGCACCCAACTCCAGCTCGCTGACAATGTCATGTAGTGCGATTTCCAATACCCGACGTGCGGCGCCTGTGCTGCTGCTAGAGTGACGTGCTTGGGGTTCGATTCGCTTCGTGGTTCCGACAAACCTCGGAGCATGGTCCGTCATCTGGAGGCACAAGTTGCTCAACTCGAGATCGACCTCGCTGCGATCAAGACCCAAGCACAACCTGATGGCGTGGATACGATAACACAGCGCGTCGCAATGGCGACTGCGGAACCGACTGGCCGAACGCGCAAGCAAGAGCCACTGCTTCCCCTGACATCAACATATTTCCTCTCTGATGCACCTCTACCTCAATTCAACCATCAAGCTTGGGACGAGTCAGATAATGTCGAATCGACGGGTCAGTCGTGGCGGCCTATGGCCATCTCTTCCATCCCCGTCCATGTCATTGACGCCATGTTGAAACACTACTGTCAGACGTATCTTCCTCAATATCCATCGATTGCCGAAGCAGATCTGTACCGTGCCAGGGATAGGGTGTATGAGAGTCCAGAACTCAGCGGCTATGACGCCTTCGTCATATGCATCACTCTGGCCATCAGCTCCAACACCCTGAGCTACATTGACGAGAAACGGGCGGCGTCAACTACATACGGTCTCTGGGCTACCGCCGTGGTTCACCTGGAGCAGGTTGGACTGACTGCCTCGTGGGAACGTCTCCAAGCGTTGCAGCTTCTCACGCATTACGGCTTTTTGAATCCTCAACATGTCAACGTCAGCCACTGCGCCTCAGCCGCGAGCAGAATGGCATTTCAATTCGGCTTGCATGAAGAATTACCAATCCCTCGACAGCTGAAACTGAATTCAGCAGTCTTGAATACGCGACGAAGGATGTTCTGGAATGCATATGGCATAGATGCGTGAGATCTAACTACATCCAGCACCCTTGCTCTGGTGATGCTGATTGACTTTGGCAGGGCTGCTCACGTCGTTCGGAGTCTGCCATACCAATGGAAAAGGTCCGAGATCACAGCAAAGGTACCTGCAGTGTTTCATTCCCCGTGATCCGATTCGAAGTGACTAATGTGTTCAATGTTCAGTTCCCGGAGTCGGAGTCGCTAGCAACACCAACACACTCTGCTCATATCTGGTCGCTGAGAGAGATAGAGTGTGATATCACTTTCGGTTTGTACCATTCCGACTTGCCGCTTACAGCTCTCACTGGCCCTGGTTCGTTCGAGGCATGGCTTGCGCAAATGCAAGCCCAGCTCGATGCTTGGTACCAAAAAGTCCGCCAGAGCGTCAATCTGACGGAAAAAATTGAGTTCCACGAAGTATTGTTTCAACTTCAGGTCTTGAGATTGAACCGACCCTCTCCACGTTGCCCTGCGCCGACCAAGGAGATGCATAAGAGAGCTCTGAAAGCGTCGATAACTTTGATCAAAGAATACAGCGTGCTTGATCGACTAGGAAAGATGTTCATGCTATGGCACGCCGCTTTCTGTGTCATAGAGGCTGGGCTGTACCTGCTCTCATCTATCCTGATCAGTCTTGAAACTCCCACTCTGGATCGTCAACACCTGGAAGGAGAGGATGTTAGCATCCTGACCAGATACGTCAAGACTTTTCCGGTGCTCTTCTGGAAAATATCTCGTCGATGGCCATCCGTTCTGCCACACGCGTCCACCCTCGACAATCTCTCCACCTCGGTCTTGGACGTATTGCAACGGTGGTCAGATGGGCAAGACCCGACAAGGACTGAGACTATCTCTTTGAGAGAAAAAATTGATCACATGACCAGGTTTCCTTTGACACCATCGCCAAATCAAACGGCCGCAACTCATGCTGTACGGCCTGAGGTGCTCTTACAATACCAGCCGTCGAATACATCCTCACAGCTGCTGGGAGAATCTAATCCGATCTTGCAGACTTCGACTATTCAACTCTCTACTGAGCCCGAGGCTCCTCCTAACACGTCCGCGTGGTTAGGCAATCGATCGAGCCTAGATCCCAGTCTTCCCATCTTCCCAGAAACCTACCCGTTCAGTTACACCGATCCAATGGTATGGGACTTCTCTGGAATTGATTCGGA